AAAAAATAAATCATTATAAAACATACGGAATTTTGATATAGAATCATTAATTACGTATACAAACCTTATAAAAAACGGATCATTTCCTTATTTCGATTTCTTATAGGGCCCATTCAGCTGAAAAAAATAAACCTATATAAGTTCCGGTCAGATAAAGGGATTCTCTGAGAAGCTTCGCATAATTCAGTCTATAATCTACCTAATAATTCTCCTAGCCAGATACTGGAAATATAATAGGACTCATTATTGGTGAAATTTTTCTTTTATATTTTCCACTACGATAATAATAACCTTTATCATATCCACTATTTCTATTATATCTATTATATCTATTATCATCTGAATCGTTTGACATCTCTTCTTCAGAATCACTATCATGGCTACAGTCACTATCATCATATGCCACATCTGATACCTTTGAAATCTTTTCATTCGCCTCTTTTACTTCATCATCTTTAGAATAAAATACATATCGTCATCATTGTCTGCCTTAGCAATTATTTTAGACTTTTTAGAACCCTTCTTAATCAAATCTTTTACTCTTTCTTCTTTTTTCTTAAAATAATCTGTAACATCATGTGTTACTAAAATTATCATTTGAGTTAGGGTCATTAGCTGATATATTAACTATAGTCAAGGCAATTTCGTTCTCACAACTCTGATCAGTGATTCTCTTCGATTTGACCTATTCTATAATAGATTCGATTTGAGGATTAGTGAACCTTGAAATTTTATCAGTACTATAAATAATCTGCTGTACCATATGTCATCCTATACTACTAACCTTGTTTAAGGTTATAGAATCATATTCAAATCCAAATAACTTATTAATTTTTCTTGCCTTAGAAGTTCTTACACATAAATATTCATCGGAAATGTCTGTAAGGTATAATTTTATTTTAGCATAAATTTGTGTACTTGCAGTCTTATTTGCAAGTTTCTTATCCTCAGATCTAAGCTTCATGACTTTATTTTCGAACCTTTCTGAGAAGCAACCCCAGAATGAAATCTCTGCTCACTTTGCTATGATCAATTTTTTTCTTGCACTATCTGCTTGGGAGAATAAATTGGCAAGCCTCTTAATATCTATAGAACTGGAAACTATGGTTTTGGAAGGAAAAAACTTTATAGACTTTAGAGGTTGACTACCAGATAAGAATAGCTCTTCTAACAAATATTGTATGAATTCGATTACTATACTCAAAGATGCCAGGCTTTTGGATGCAATTGATTCCATTTTATCTTTAGCAGAATCGATCTGGAATGATTCCAAAATGGCTGGTTCTTCTGTTGGATTACCTCATGTGAGATGATTTTGGTATTACTTTGAGTCTCTGATCTTTCGAAGCAGAATTCGCAATATCTTTCTGGACTTGAAGTAGTTTGTTAGCATTTGCTAACCTATTTTTGGTAACTATCTTTTCTGATTCTCGCAGGAGTTTCTTCTCCTTATTGTGTCACCTAATATCATTACCAATTCTTTTCTTATCAACCTTATTCAAGAAATCGTCTATTCCCTTATCTTCCAATGGCTCTTCATAATGTTCTACACCTGAATTGAAATTAGATAAGTTATTATTAGAAGTATCATCATCTTGCAACTGCTTTTATTTCAATTTCGCAACTCTATCATTAGTATTCTCAATTCTAACATCATGTTAGTTATTTTCTTCTATTACCTGCTTCATAAGCATCACATTTCTGGCGTCTATCTCAACATTCCTAGCTTCAACCTCAGTAAGCTTCTTCTTAAGTTTAGAAATCTCAGAATTTTTAGCCTCAAGTTCAGCTTTAAGCTCAGCTTTCTCAATCTCAAGCTTAGTAATATGTTGCCTCAATGAATCTATTTCAGTTTGCATGTCTGTATATTATCAAAATGTTAGTATTCAAAATCAGTGAAAATTAATAGATTATTTAGTTAACCATAAACTGGTTTACAGTTTTTTACCAAGCCATATTTTAATCTCATCAGTATCAATACCATATCGCCATATTCCCATTAAAGTTCCTCAGTATCACATGGTAATTCTATTAAGCTTAAAATTTGTGGGAGATCCTTTTTTCTCATATTAATTTAAAAAAAAATAACCTATCAAAATTTGCTATCAGGATAAAATATTAGGGTAAGCTCTCTCTTGCAATGTTAAAGATACAAGGGAAGGTAAATAATTATCAGGATTTTTCAAAATCTCGAAGAAAAAATGAAGAGACAGACGCTGTGTATGAATCAGCAAATTCTTCCGAGCTGGTGATCACTACTTTGGGATGATGATTAGTATTTCAGACTCGAAATTTTTCACATTAAATATATTACTTTATTATAGCAATCATAGCAAATAATTCCAAAACGCTTAATCAATTATATGAAGTGCTATTATATAAGAAGAAGGATATAATAGCTATTCAGGAAAAACTTAGCATTAGTATTAGTAATAATGCAAATCAAATAGCAATCATTAGAGCAAAAATGCAGAAAACACTTGCCAATTCATATGAACTGTTGTTAGAATTAGTAGAGGATTTAATATTGATACAGGAGAATCTTAATATTGATGGTAATCCTATTTTAAAAGTGAAATATCAAAGCAATGAAGCTTCTACAGATATTTTATTGAAGGAGATATTTAATTTGCTTATGTATTTAGAAAAGGATATAATAGCAATTCAAGAAGGACTCAATATTGTTGGCTACACTAATCAAGAAATGGTAGAAGAGGCTGATAAAACCGCAAGAGAATATCTTCGAAAGTTTGAGGAATACCATGATCACTTAGAAGATGTTCTAAGTGTACTAATTCATTGATAGAAAAGTAAAAATGTTTTATTTTACTAGAGAGGGACTACCATTATTTTCAAAGGTTTCTTCTCAACAATTACACGAAATATTTGTCAAAAATCTATCTAGTGTTAGCCAGTGCCTATGTCTAGAACAGGTTAGTTAATCTATATTTTTTTGTCACATAGGGCACATCTAGATGCAAAAAAAATCTTTCAAGCTAATGATTACTGCTCTGGATTAGTTAGATTAGTAGAGTTCCATCCTGCTTGATCGTTAAGTAACCTATCGACAGATCTCAACATTAAGGTGAAAATGATACCTTGAGTTAGTGTTTGTCTATTTATAGTATAATGGGGTAATCGGTATCAGAGCCAACTATCATAGATATATTAGAATTAGGTTGTCAGGATGCCTGGTAAGATCAAGTTCTAATATTAGCAACTAGAGGCTATGTTAATATTAGCTCTATCACTCACTTTATATCAGCTCAAATATCAATCGTATCCCAGAAATTCTCAACATGGGTATTTGGATTTAACTGATCTATAGCTTCTTTGCTAATGTTATAATACCCTCTCAGATAAGGTTGCTGGACAAAATCAAGAGTTTAGATAGACGTCTAAATGGTAAAAGTAAAACTTGGTTAAATTATATTAAAACCT